GGCCGGGCCAGCTCCCCGTTGGGAGCACGGTGGGGAGCCCAGGCTCTGAGGACCCCTGTGTGGCCGCGGGGACGCAGCCGCTGGCCGCCTCCTGCTCAGCAGAGACGGGTCCTGGAGCCTGGAGCCGTGGCCACTCGGGTCAGTGACCGGCCGCCCCCACCTGGCCCTCCACGCTGGTGCCCGGTGCCCGCTGACCCCCGCGCGCCCCTGGTCTGCTGCTCGGCTCGTCTGTCCCCGAGCACTGTCCCCCATCCTCAGAGTCGCCTTCTGTCCCCTCCGTCTTGCCTCAGCTCTGTCCCTCAGTGACCCCCTTCGGTACACAGAGGTCCCCTCCGGGCGGTGCTAAGCCGTCCGAGGGTGGCCAGGTCTCCCGGAGGGACGGAGGCCGGCTGGGCTGTCTGGGTTGCCAGTGGGCTCCCGCAGCGGTGCCCCGCCTGTGAGTTGGGAGCTGACGTCTCTCCTCCCGGTGTTTATCCCGCTTCTCCCTTTACCCAGCATGGGCTTTGCCTCCGTCTCGGTTGCCCCCGGTCCTGGGTGCCGATGGCCGGGCTCTGGGCTGTAGCCTCACTGGCTGCCCACCCTCAGCCCCATGCCACGTGGCCAAGAGACACTGGGTCCACCCAGCCAGGAGGGGTGGCCGTCCCGAGGACGACGGCCGCTCCTCGGGGCCTGGTGGTGGGCGCCCTCTCGCCTCCAGAGCCTGAGGGCCGAGCTAAGGCCCCGGGGCTCGCCGCTCCCTCCCTGGGGAGTGCCCGAGGTCCTGCCTGTGGGGGCCTGTGGCCAGGGACCGCTGCCCCGCGCCCCCTGGGCTGGCTGTTTCCTCTGTGCTCTGGAAACCAGTTAAATTCTTTAGTTTTCACTCAATGCGGTGGTGGTCACAGGCCCTGCCCTTGGTAGCCGATATGGTCCTGTGTCCATCTGCGTCAAGGCCAGGACAGGTGCGGCTGACGCTTCATCCTGTCGCTGTGGACCGGGATCCGGCCCTTGCCGAGGGCAGTGTGGACTGAGCGCGACACGCCCCGCGGGCCCGGAGCTGGGACTCCTTCTCCTGCCGGACGCATAGACAGGTCCACCCGGGGGCCGAGGGTGCTGCCCGACGGGATGCCCTCGGCCTGCTCTGCTGGGGTCCGGTCCCTGGCTTGGTAGAATCAGCGGCTCAGTGCTGACCCGCAGGCCGAGGCCCAGCAGCCCGAGGCCCGCCTCCTGACGGCCCACGCTGGCCAGACCCCTCCAGCCCCTGCGGGAGTGTCCCCACGGTGTCTCCTATGCCACCTGCACGCTGGGCAGGCTGTGGTCACTGCGGGTGACCGGGAGCACCCCAGCAGTGCACATGTGTGTGAAGTGTGGTGTGGACGACCCGGTCACCTCTCCCTGTTCCCAGCGCCACCTGTTGGGGTGTTCTGGAGGGGCCACAGCCCTCTGGGCTCTTCTGAGTGTGGGACCTCAAAGGACGCCGCTGCCCTCAGCTGCCCGCCCCCCGCCGCCCCCTCCACCTCCGGGCTCTGGCCGCTGCACCCTCCCTGGGGCGGAGCCTGGGTCTGGCGCGGGCGGCCCACCCTGGGGGCGGGAGAGCTGGTGGCCCGCGGGGTGAGCGCCTCCCCCACTGTGGCTCCCACCCCTGTGGGCAGCTCCTCTGAGCCCAGAGCCTCCGCCAGGAAGGGCCCAGGGCGGTGGGTGGCGAGCGCTGAACCCCTGGGGGCCCATCCTGCCTGATGGGAAGAGGACAAGGGGTCTGGCAGCTCCCGCCTGGCCTGCTGCCGCGGCTGCCCTGTCCGTGGGCGCCCTGTCCATGCCCCCTCCCACCTGGCCCTGAGCCCTGGGGCCCTGCGTCTCTTGGGCCTCCTAGTCCTCGGCAGTAACGCCCGGCCGGTAGCCAGGGCTGCACAGCCACTGTCCTCCCCAAGGCCCCAGCCCCGCAGCAGCGTGTGCAGTTTCTGCACCCCACACCCCGCCAGTCCTTCAGTGGGCCCAGGGCGAGGCGGCACCCCCGGGTCTGCGTCAACGTCAACGGTGGCAGCCGGCGGGTCAGCCCCAGCCCGCCCCCAGCCGCTTGCTGGCGAGCCCCGAGCGTGGAGGCAGGCCTGGCCGGTCACCTGCGGCGGGTCCAGTCTGTGGCCCTCCCTGGGGCACAGGGGCTCAGCCCTGGGGAGCCCCCGAGGGGGTGCCCGCAGCCGAGGGCAGGGGCCTGGAGGACCCACCCCGTGGGCACCGGCCTGCAGTTGACTTCCAGCCTCCAGCGGAGCCGGGCGGGCAGTGTCCATCGTCCAGCCCTGCGGTGCGTCTGGGCCGCCTGGGAGGGGCCTCTGTCCGGCCGTGTAGGGAGACCCTCATGCCAGCCGATACCGCTGCCCCGCCCAGAGAGTGGCCCGGGCCTCGCTTCGTGGGGAGGTCACGGCGGGCCGCCCCGCTGTCTGTCCTGCGCTCTCGGACGAGAGCCAGGAGGATGGGCGCTGAGAGGTGACTGCCGGGTAGCCGGCTCCCCTGTGCCCCCTCGCGATGCTCCCGGGACGCCGAGCCCAGCCCGGGGGGTCACCTTGGTCACCCAGGGTCTTATTGGCACACTCGAGGGTGCGGGTGTCCATGGCCTCCAGGAAGGAGCCTGCGGGCGGGCGGTGCCTTCTCAGTCTCCTGCAGAGGCCCTGGGATCACGAGCCGGCCAAGGCTTTGATGAGAGCCCTGTCCTCAGGGCCTGCAGCGCTGACCGCCCGACTGACTGTCACCTGCCCTCTCGGGAGAGGTACTTGCCGCCGGGCGGCCAGAGCCCCAGCTTCCCTAGAGCTGTCTGTGGGCCCAGCCGCTGGATCGGTCTGTCGGACGACCGTCTGCTGGTGTGTCACACCCCCCTTCACGCCTGGCCAGCACCCCCGGGGTGGGGGCGGGCGCCATGGGTCAAAACCCAAATGTGGACCCCCAGCCTTCTCTCCTGGCTGAGTCGCTGTGGGCCCAACTCTCTTCCGGAGCCTAATACCTAGGGAACCCCAAGACTCAAACTCCTGCTGATGGCAGCAGCCCAGCACTTCCCCCAGGGCCCCTCCCTAGCCCCTCCACGCCGTCGCCCCCCACCCCCGGTCCCGCCACGGCACAGATCATGGGGTGCAGGGCGGCACTGCCCAGGTGAGCTCCGGGACCAGCACCCAGCCCAGGCCTGCAGCAGAGCTCAGACGTGAGCTGAGGGCTTGGGGTCTCCTGGGACCCGGGCGCAGTGGGCTGCACCCCGGGGACCCGGGAGAAGACAGTGAATGCACAGGCGTGGTTTCCTGGGCAGCCAGGCTCAGGGTCCCCGACTCCAGGCCCAGGGTCCCCGACTCCAGGCCCAGAGTCCCCGACTCCAGGCCCAGGGTCCCCGACTCC